GCTGCACATTTTTACCCTTTTTCTTGGATTCTGTGCCTCCCTCACCCAACCCTCCCACAGATTCCCACATGAATACACTGTATGTAAGGTAAAGAATATATAAGGTAGACTGGGAAGGTGGCTCAGTGGTAGAGCGCTTGCCTTGCATGAATGAGGCCCTGAGTTTGATTCCTAGTACCACATAAGCAAAAAGAAAACAGCCGAAAGTGGCGCTGTGGCTCAAGTGGTTGAGCGCTAGCCTTGAGCTGAAGAGCTGAGGGACAGTGCCCAGGCCCAGAGTGCAGGCCCCACGACTGGACCGGAAAAAAAAAAAAAAAGAATATATAAGGTAAAGAATACAGAATCATCAGGAAAAAAAATTTGTCCTTGAAGTTCATTTCAGTATGCACATTATTTTATACACATATGAAGAGGCGCTTGGGTACTGCATCTCTGTGATTCTCTTCTACGACTATCATCCTTTGGCCTGAGAAAACTCCCTTCGCTCAAAGCTAGCATTCTACCACTTGAACCACAGCCCTACTTCTAGCTGGTCTGAGGTGTTTATTGGCGATAAGTCTCATGGACTTTTCTGCTGCAGGGGGCTTCGAACCATAACCCTCAGTTCTCAGCCTCCTGAGTAGCTAGGATTACAGGCATGAGCCACTAGCAGCTGGATTTTCCTTTTGATTTTTATAATGGCTCACAGCTAAGCATTTGGTTTGAGACTCAGAGAAGACTTTGGCTTTGAACTCTGTAGGGGGAGGCAGAAGTGCTAGTACTTGAGGCTTGAGCTGAACCTAGACACTGTCCTTAAGCTTTTTCACTCAAGATTGGTGCTCTACCACTTGAGCCATAGTTCCACTAAGGGTTTTTGCTGGTTAACTGAAGTCTCATAGACTTTACTGTTCTGGCTAGCTTTGAACTGCAACCTTCAGGTCTTGTCCTCCTGAGTAGCTTGGATTACAGGCATGAGCCACTGGCACCTGGGCTGGCCTTGAACTTTTAAGCATTACTGGAACTGTTCTGAGGAACTGGCATGGTTTTGGTTGTATGCAAGATAGTTACACCATGATAAGTAAAATTGTAACATTTTATTGTCTTTACTTGGAGATTAAGTCGAGCATACAGAAATGTGCTTGGGTGTCCAGCTGACGGGAGTGGGCTGGTGATGGCTAATCTTGATCATCAACTGACTTGCCTAAGAGATGGACTGAGTAAAGCACACTCTCAGTGTGCCTGGGAGGCATTTACAGAGGTGGATTAGACTGTAAGCACTATGACATAATCAACAGCTTAATTCATGGATGCTCAAGATTTGAACAGACTATTGAGAAATGGTGGAATTGTGGAAGGGAGGACCACCAATTAGAAGTCACTGGGGTTTGCCTTTGAACACTCTATCTTGGCCCTAAGCCCTTCCTATTATTTCTCTCTACCTCTTAAATACTTTTTTTCTTTTTGAGGGAGGTCCTGGGGCAGGAACCCAGGGCACACTTCTCAGCTATTCTCTCTACTTCTTGGCTACTAGAGGTAAGCAGCCCCCTCCACAGCTCCCGCACCATTACATTCTGTCTTGCTCAGGCCCAAAGTTGATTTCTCTCAGGTATTTGTCACAGTGATGGAATGTCAGAATAAAACAGGTACCAGTTCTGCTTTAGACACTTGTTATGTTTCCTTGTCCTTGCCCAGCACCCAGCCAGACAGTAACTCACTGAAGGCAGGCCAGCATCTGTGAGTGAACGCCGCATTCCTGTGCCTAGCACAGTGCTCCTACATTATTGGGCCTGAGACTGCTGAAACAAGGCACCATTTGCCTACTTTACACTCCAGAAATGGGCTCAGAGGATGCAGAGCTACACAATAATAGCATGAACCCAGATATTTCTGCCTCAAGACTCTATGCTATATATACTGTCATCATTCTTTGTAGTGACTGCATTAGATTACTAGCTTAAGAGTGACTATCATTTATGTAACTACTGACATTTGAGTTCTCCATTGTTTCTCATTCTTGCAGACAGCTGTAATAAAAACCTTTCCATAAGCACTGACAGCATAAACCCTACACAGAGATGGTTGGGTCTACACATCTGAAGCACTGTCTAAGTAGGTGGCACCAATCTGTCACCACCCCCCTTCATCTCTGATAGGAGAATCCCCGTTCTCTGTATTGTGTATTCAATGTACAAGGTTTCTCTTAACAGAATTTATTTATTTTTTTTTGGTACCAGTCCTGTAGTTTGAACTTAGGGTCTGGGCACTGTCCCTGAGCTTTTCCACTCAAAGCTAGCACTCTACCACTTAAGCTACAGCTCCACTTTGGCTTTTGGTGGCTGATTTGAGATAAGAATCTCATGGGTTTTCTTGCAGGCTTTGAACCGTGATCCTTGGCTCTCAGCTTCTTGAATAGCTAGGATTACAGGGATGAGCCACCAGTGCCTGGCTATAACCTGCTTATTTATTTATATATATTTGCCAGTCCTGGGGCTTGAACTCAGAGCCTGGGCACTGTCCCTGAGCTTCTTTTGCTCCAGGCCAGCACTCTATCACTTGAGCCACAGCATCACTTCTGGCTTTTTCTGTTTGTGTGGTACTGAGGAATCAAACCCAGGGTTTCATGTATGTTAGGCAAGCACTCTACCACATTCTCAGCCCAGAACCTTCCTTCTTGATAGCTATAAAAGTTGGGGTTGGGTTTTTTTTGATACCTGGACTGGTGGTGCATATCTGTAATTTCAGTTACCAAGCAGGTATAGGGAGGAGGATCATGAGTTTGAGGCCAGTCTCAACTACCTAGCAAGCTGAAAGCCAGTCTGGGTAACTTAGCAACAACTTGTATCCAAATTAAAAAGACAAAAAAAAAAGGTAAGCCAGGCTGTGGCTCAGTGGTGGAGTACTTGCTTAGCACGCTTAAAAGATGCTGGGAGGGGCTGGGAATGTGGCTTAGTGGTAGAGTGCTTGCCTAGCGTGCATGAAGCCCTGGGTTTGATTCCTCAGTACCATATGAACAGAAAAGGCCAGAAGTGGTGCTGTGGCTCAAGTGGTAGAGTGGCACACTTGAGCAAAAGAAACTCAAGGACAGTGCCCAGGTCCTGAGTTCAAGCCTCAGGACTGGCAAAAAAAAAAAAAGATGCTGGGTTCCATTCCCAGCAACCCTCTTCCCCTCCAACAAATAAACATTGATTTGTAAGCGGGGCGTCAGTGGCTCATACCTGTAATCCTAGCTACTTAGGAGGCTGAGTTCTGAGGATTGCGGTTCAAAGCCAGCCCAGGCAAGGAAAGTCCGTGACTCTTATCTCCAGTTAACCACTAGAAAACAGGAAGTGGTGTGGTGGCTCAAGTGATAGAGCGCTTGCCTTGAACTGAAGAGCTCAGAGACAGCGCCCAGGCCCAGAGTTTAAGCCTCACGATCTACAAAAAACAAAACAAAAAAAAAATGATTTTGGAGACTTTGTAAAGACTTTTCATAGTTCATCCCTCTGGGTATAGGCCTGGCTCCTTATGCCAAACATGTGATCAGGCCTGAACTCATCAAGGTGGCCATAGAGAAAAAGGAGGCAGGCCGTGATCAACTACACGTCTGCTCTCCATCACTCACCAGGAAGCCAGCTGCCACCTCAGCCCTGAGTGGGAGTTTCTTCTCACGTCGTTTCCTAAAATAAAAGCCACAGCCAGCCTGAGAGAGCTTCTCATCAAGCAAAACTGAGAAATAAGAGTACAGAGGGTTAGCAGGTGGGGGAAACTATCTAGTCATGCCCTAGTGTCTGTCAGATGAGAAAATTGTGACTGAGTTGCTGAGTGACTAGTTCAAGGTCTCACAGCAAAACAGTGGCAGACCCCAGCCCAGGCCAGGTCTCCAGGCCCATCTACCCTGGCTGACAGCTATTTCTGTCAGTGAGACAGGTCAGTGACCTCCATGACACTCCTTTTCAGTGTGTCTTTCTTCAAACTTGGGTTTTGAAAATTAGGTTTCCCCATCTAAATAAAATCATGGGACAAATCAGACACCAGCTTGGGCCTGTAATCCTAGCTACTCAGCAGGCTGGGATCTGAAGCTCAAGATTCTAAGCTAGCCTGGGCAACCAAGTCCACTGAAACTCTTACTTCCAAAAAACCAGTAAAAAGCCAGAAGTAGAGGGGTGGCTCAAGTGATAAAAGTGTCAGCCTTGAGAAGAAAAGCTAAGGGACGGCACCCAGGCCCTGCGTTCAATCTCTGGTTCTAGCACACGCCCACAAAGAATCATGAGACTCTATCTCTGTGCCTTTGAGTGCGTGCTGCCTCTCTGCCTTTTCTACCAAACTGCTTTAACTCTTCATCCTTCAAGACCTCAAAGAACTGTTACCTTTTATGAAAATGCTCCAGGATAATCCACTTAAGCTGATTATTTCCTGCCCTATGTTCTCAGGCCGTGACTTTACTACCACCAGTACAAAAACTCCTCAAATGCAGAAATGTGTCAAAGTTTCAAGCCTGGCCTTCTCTAGGAAGGGACTATGGAGCACAGATGACTTTTTCCTCAGCTCGGAGCCCAGTGTAATCTCCGAGAGGGCTGATGCCCTAGAAGGAGCATGAACAGAGACTGTCTTCGGCCTGAGGAGTTTTGAGCTTTTGACAGATGCCACCAGGAGGTGGCAAGCAGCTCAGCTGACAAGTGAGTGGGCACCAGAGATGCAAGACACTGTCAGGGTGTGGAGGCCTCCGGGGCTGCGAGTGCTTGCGAAGGTGTCTGTACCAGTGTGAACATATCACTGGCCTTCAACTAGGCCTTCAGAGGACCAGCTCAGCTTTCCCCCGTCTGGTTAACTCAGGCCTCAAGATCCTGACAGAGGAGTAAGCAGGCAGAGAAATAGGTATACTCAGGATATGGGATTTAGGCAAAAAAACAAAACAAAAAAAAAAGCATAAAGGCATGAAATACGCTAATACAACAAATAACTCAAGAAAGAATTACCTATTCTGGCTTGGGGCTTGCTCAGGGGTGTGGAAAGGAACACACGACACGCCAGGGTATGAGTTTCTGTTATTTCCAGTGTACTTTAATTTGCTTGTTTCCACACAGGATCTGTGTGTGTTTAACAGTAGCACGAGCCATTCTCGAAATACAATCTGGTACCCAGACAATGACAGATGCACACGGAAACAAGCAAGTGAACCTTTCCATACAGGCAAAGCACGTGCATGTGCAGCAGGTCTCTGTGATCCCAAAGCCTCATGTTCAGCACCTGGGGACAATAAACACTTTTCAAAAGACACCATGAGACTGTGTCAATGAGTGATCTAGACTGCAAATGGCTCCACAAGCGATGTTAGAGGACATGTAGAGGAGCATAAAGATCCATCCCAGAGGCTGTCTGGGAAAAGGAAGTGGCGCTTATGCTCAGCACTATACATGCATCATCTCTTTTAACCCAAACAGTATCATCTCTGCCTCAGAGGAAGAAGATAAGGCTGGCCCATAAGGTCATGTGACACTTGGGGATGGTGCCAAGCCTTCACCTCTTATTTGCCATTACTGCCCTCCCCCCCCCCCGCCTCACTCAGGCCAGGCTGCCTCACACAGAGTAGGGGTGAATGCTCTCTAGGATGCCTAAGGGAGCTGGGCATATTGCTCAGAGGTAGAATGCTTGCCCAGCAAGCACAAAGCCCTGGGCTCCATCCCCAGCACAAAAGGAAAACAAAGGGCATCAAGGATGAGCAGGTGGCAGAAGCCCAATCCACACAGAAGACTAGCTAACTCCAGTTCCAACCTGCAGTCCATTTAGTGTTACGCCTGGATCAGAGCATGAGAAAAATGTCTGGAGACCGGCGTGTGACAAATGAGCTTGTGGAGACACCTGTGCCTGTTCCCTGCTGGTGCTGAACATGAAACTTACTTTTCAACCTGGCTGACACAGCCCCCTGTTGTCTGGCCCAGCCCCACTGTCAAGACACTCTGGAACAGATGGAAATCCCAGGTGAGAGGCCCTCTCTGCCCACCTGTTACTTCTTTCCAAAGCACCATGACATCCTTGCCTGTGTTTCTCCCTCCTTAGAGACAACATCTTCCACCTCATATTTTAATCGATAAAGTTGACTGCAGCTCATTCGGAGGTGAAATACATACTTCAATTATCTTCATATAAAAAAATAACTGCCCTCCAGAGTTGCCAATCTCCTAACAAGCTAAACTAGAGTTAAGTCAGTCAAGTGTAGTGCTTATCAGTTAATGCTGTTATCCACTGGGGGAGAGGCATCAGAGCAGCTTAGGTGATTATCCAAGAAGCCCAAGACTAAGAGATAGTCTGGGAAAAGAAAGGGACCTTTTTATCCCAGAGTGGAACTGTGCCTTGTGGGACGGAGGTAACAGGACTTCTAACCCTCCTCAGCCTTCTCAGTGAAGGCACCGAACAAAGTTTAAAACTGAGGAGTGCTTCGAGGAGGGAAGAAGAGGTGGGCAGACTGCAAGGCCAGCAGACAGGGCCAGCGAGCAGGGCCAGCCCTGTGCTGTTCTGTTGGTGGTGTGAGGGAGAGTAGGTGGGGCCAAAGTCAGACCACTGTTCAATCAAGATGTCTTTGCCAACAGGCTGGCTTCTTGCATCACAGAGACACATCTGTCTTCACTTCTCAATGATCAAAATCTTGTCCAAAGGTAAAAGGGCCTTGGGCCACAGAGCACAGCAACACTGATCGCTTACCATATAAACTTGACCGTAGTCAGTCTGCAGCTCTGACATGTGGTCAGGAAGAGCTGCAGTACAAACAAGCACTTTGAAAAATACGTCAAATGATTAAAATAGCTGCTTTCCAGTTTTACTCTTGACAAGAGATGGGACTTAAATCCTCTAAACCAAGAGTTTGGTTTATATAGAGTAAATTAGTGTTCTAAAAATAACCCCAGAAAACAGTTGACATGTGCCAAAGGGCAGCCCTGGACCTGTGAGGGGTTCTCAGCTTTGTCAACAAGGAGCAAACGCTGTAGTTGTTATTAAAAAGGTATAAAGCATTCACTCAAAATAGAAGAGGAAAAATTAATAATAAAGGCAACCTTATTGCTCCAAAAAAGCGAACACAGAACAGTGTGGACAGAAAAATGTCATTGTTCGTTACATAGAAATCATCCAGGCACTGCAGTCTAATGGCTGATCGCAGCCAGATGCAAATATTCGACATTCCACAGAGGAAACAGATATTGTATCACAATCTGAGTGTCTCTCAGGTGTGGGGTGTTTTATAGAGAACCCTGCCAGAAATAAGTGCATATGTATATCGACCAGAAAATACTGTTCAAATCACAGCATTAACAGCCAATAAATCAAGAGAACAAGAATCAGGAACATGGCAGCAGCAGGGTCGTGAGGCTCTGGCCTCTCCCCTTGAGCCAGCCACATGAGACTCTCCTGATTCTGTCCTTTTGTCAAGCCTTATCTTTCCCTGTCTAGGGGCAAAAGACCGTGCCAGGCTAAGGTCAAGTCCTGCCAGGGATGAAGAGAGCCTGACAGAAATGATGGCATCTGCGCCACAGATGATGTCACCAAGGAGAGCCTGAAGACTAAATCTTGCCAGACTCCACTCCACCCCCCAAAACTGCCTGCTAAGCTTCCTCTCTGAAATGGGATAAATAATTTAGCCAGATCCTAAACAAAATACATGGAAAATATATTAGCCATTGACTTCTCCCACCCCCTCCCCCAGTTCTGTTTCTCTTTTACTTCTTATGACTGTCTTGTTTCAAAGTCAAACTACAGCTCTGGGGAGGGAGTCCTGGGGAAAAGGATTTCAGGTACCAACACCCATAGGTCCCATACCAGCCCAGCAACCCAAACAAGGTGCCAAATACTTTCTGGGAAAAGTCATGGAAATACACGGCCGTGCATAGAAACATCCACACCCAAATGAAGGTGAGGAAGCCCAGGGCGATGACCAGCGTGGTGATGGCAGTGTGCAGGTAGTGGTTCCGGTCCGTCTTCACCTCATGCAGCACCGCCATCTCCTCCACAATCATGAGGGCACAGAAGGTTAGCAGGAAGGAATGGCCCGAGATGTCAAAGCCGTACCAGAAGCCCCCTTCCCGGTGACACTGCTGTTTGCTCTGGTGTTCCTCCCGGACCTTGTCCAGGGCAGGCGAGTGGTAGCAGCTGCCTGTGTAATGCTCGATGTTGGAGAAGAGGGACGTGCAGGCATACCAGATGGCCGTGCCCACCAGCAGGGTGCTGAGCCGCCGCAGGACCAGGCCGGCCTTGCCCGTCAGGTGGTAGTTGGTAAGGGCAATGAAGGGCAGGAGGAGACAGAATGTCCAGGCCCAGGCCAGTTTGACAAAATACCTGACGGAGGAGGAAGGTTCAAGTGAAGAAGGGCAGGTCAGAGGGTCCCAAGGGAAGGGCAATGGGAAAAACTGAGCAAAGATCCTAAGAGCAACCATATTTCAGGCCTTTACTAAGTGGTTCACTGACTAAGTACTTTAACTATTTAGTCCTTAACTCTATGGATAGGTACTATTTATCATCCCTGGTTTACAGATGAGCAAACTGAAGCACAGGGAAATGTAATACAAAGTGGAGGCTTTAGTGGTAGAGCTGGGATTCAATTCCAGGGCATGCAATTTTAGCACTGTGTTGTTTGTTCGGGAAAGCAATAATAATTGAGCAGCTATCAAATACCCAGGGCTTTCATTCACAATCACTTTCCATAAAACACTCCTTAGTCCCTTGGGAGGACCGATTTAAAGACAGAATTTGAGACTTTAAAAACTCAGTACTTAAGCTGGGCGCCAGTGGCTCATGCCTGTAATCTTACCTACTCAGGAGGCTGAGATCTGAGGATCTCAGTTTGAAACCACCTAGGGCAGAAAAGTCTATGAAACTCTCATCTCCAATAAACTGTTCAGAAAAAGCCAGAAGTGGTACTGTGGCTCAAGTGGTAGCATGTTAGCATTCTAGCCTCCAGCCAAAGAAGCTCAGAGACAGTGCCCAGGCCCTAAGTTCAAGCTCCAGGACCGGCACAAAAAATTAAAAATTAATTTAAAAAAAATTCAGTACTCGGGGCTGGGAAGGTGGCTCAGTGGTAGAGCGCTTGCCTCGCATGCATGATGCCCTGGGTTCGATTCCTCAGCACCACATAAGCAAAAAGGAAAAAAGCCGGAAGTGGTGCTGTGGCTCAAGTGGTAGCTAGCCTTGAGCTGAAGAGCTGAGGGACAGTGCCCAGGCCCAGAGTTCAGGCCCCATGACCGGAACCAAAAAAAAAAAAAAAAAATTCAGTACTTAGCCAAAGGACACAGTCAGACACTGGCAAGCACAGATTAAATCCTACTTCAGCAGATCCCAAAGCAAACTGGACTTTTCTATGACATCTCTGTTCTTTCCTACATGGAGTAGGGGAGGGGGGGGGGTCTTGTAACAAAGAGTTTTACTTCAAGCTATAAGACCTGGATTCAAATCCTGACTGACTTAACCTGTTACCACACTTCTCTGGGTTTCCATTTTCTCCGTGGTTAGAGCTGAGGGCACCAACAGTTTTCAAGATCCTTTCCAGGTCCAATGAGTCACCTAGTCCCCACCCATTAACGAACCTAGCATCTTGAAACAAAACACCAGAAGCCATGGCTACCCTCAAATAATAAAGGCTCTGGTGCCAGGCTGCTTGGCTCTGAGTTCGCTCAGGCCAGACCTGTGCTAAGGAAACTTATGGTGGCCGACCCGAGGACTAGCTTTAGAAAACTGTCAAGGCTGAAAGCTGCTACAACTCTTGGTATCTATTCTTAGCCCAGCAGCTGGGGTGGGCCAAGGACACAATGCCTCAGTCCTAGGTTCCAGTGGCTTCTAAGACACCACCTAAGGGACTGTCCACTTAAACCTGTCCTGACACTGATAGTGAGGGACTTCGTGGAGCCAACACCCGTCAGACATTTTGCAATGAACTGCCTGGGAGAGAAACCAGGGTTTGATGTAGATAATCAAAGCAGGGGCAGACTCAGGAGAGGGGGAGGCATTAGACTCCTATTAGGGAGGAATTTCAGCTTCCAATTTCTCTTTATTACTACAGAAATGTTTTGTGCAATAAACTTACAATCTATTTTTTTTTAAAGACGTGGATAGGCGCAATTAAGGAGATGTCCCAAAGAGCCAAACTAGGATTGCTTTCCTGGAAGGCTGCCATGCACTTGGGGTGACTGAGAAGGTCCAGGGAGATCCAGGGGAAAGGTTATAGAGCCCAGAGGGTTCTAATCTCTGCCAGGGTGGAGTAGGGATTCTACCCAGGCGGGGTGGGGGGAGGCTCTCCAACGTGGGGCTTAGGAGTTGGGGGGTGCTGGAGGATTACTTGATAGTGTTGGGGTGCTGGATCTGTTACAGACAGGAGGCGACACCTCCTACACAGGGCTCGTAGTGAGTCCCAGCGGGGAGGCTGGCGGGGGGAGGCCGGCTTGGGCCCCGAGCCCACCCTCACCCCTCACCCATCCCGACACACAGGCCAGCTCGTCGGCACCCCGCCATACCTCGCCTTAGTCCAGGGTCCCCGAGATCAGGGGCCGCGCAGGCGGCTGCCGGGGCCCGGAGGACTTCCCGCCCAACGCCCCGGCCTGCGGGAGCCTCGAGCCCGGCGCTCTCGGGGTGCGCCCCGAGACCCCCGGGGCGCGGGAGAGGGAAGGACACTCACACGTTGAGGACGTTGCGCTTGTTGCTGAGGTAGCTCTCGGGCAGCGGGGACAGCTCCTTGAGGAGGGAGCCCGCCAGCATGGAGGCGACCAGGGCCCACGGGAGGTACCGCCGCACGGCCGCCCTCACCAGCGTCCCGCGGAGGAACCACGCGCAGCGCTCCAGGTGCTCCATGCCGAACCTCGCCGGCCACCGTCCGCCTCCCCAGCGCCTTCGCGGCCACCGTCCCCGCCAAGCGCCCTCAGGACGGGCGGCTCCGCCTCCCGGCGCGCGCGCGCACGCGCGATGCCTCGCAAGCCCCGCTCTCCCTGAGCGGGCCCGCGCGCTCCCCCTCGTGGCGGCTGCAGGCCTCTGCAGCGCTCGCGCGCGCCGTTCTGCACCTCCACAGGGGACTGTGGTTGCGAATTGGCTTCTGAGACTTGGCTCTGTCCTGTGGGAAGTGCTTGCGGGGAAGGGCGGGGAGGGCGGTATTTACTGGAAGGATGAGCGCAGACCTGCAGGAATTGGAGCCGTGTGCACAGTGTCGTTTAGTCTCTCTTGGAAACTCGAAGTCAACCTCCTCCACCCCAGCAGCCTCAGTTTCTCCTCCCGGGAGGGGAGACCAGAGGACACGAGCCTTTCCCAAGAACTAGCTATGAACTGAGTCAGACACAGGGAAACAGATGCCAGGAGCCCTCAACTTCGTGTGGAATCCAAAGCACACAGAAAAGAAAACATTAGAATGGCAGTTCCCAGAGGATCGGGGGTTTTGTTTGTCTGTTTGCTTTACTCATTTTTTCAGAGAGGGTCTCATTTTTGCCCGAGGCTGGTCCCTATCTATTCCTTCCATATCCCTGAACTTACAGGGAGGAGCCACCATACCCAGCTTGTTCTTGAGTATCAAACCCAAGGTCTAAAGCATACTTAAGCACACACTCTACCCCTGAGCTGTACTCCCAACCTATACATTTACATTAATACACTGATTTAAAGGAAATTAAGTTACTATTTTAGATTGTGTTTTGTTTTTTGTTTGCCAGTCCTGGGACTTAAACTCAGGGCCTGGGTACTGTCCCTGAGCTTCTTTTGCTCAAGGCTAGCACTCTACCACTTGAGCCATAGTACCACTTCTGGCTCTTTCTATTTATGTGGTCCTGAGGAATCGAACCCAGGGCTTCATATATGCTAGGCAAGCACTCTATCAGGAAGCCACATTCCCAGCCCATTACATTGTTTCTTTATAGAGAGAAGAGAAATAACTAAAAGGCAGGGCTAGGCAAGAAGCTTTCTGCCCAGAAGATACTGTAATGGACAGATGACCGGGCTCAGCCGAGAATGCGTGGGGCCATAGAGAAGAAGAAAGGGCAGGAGAGTTCTTGTAAGCTAGGTCTGCAGGCTGGGCTAGGGATCTGCCAGAGGGTACAGAGGGGGGCACAGGCATTCCAGAAAGATCAGCCAGCAGGTGCCCTTTTGTTGGCTGGAGTGTGGGAAATAGTTCACTCTGGTTCGGGAAGGGGAGAGGCTGCTGTAACTCTCCCAGCAGGTGGCTGTCTGTGCACAGCTCCAGACACAGCCACCCTCCTTCCCAGCTCTTCTGCAGTGCCTCTCTCCTTCCTGACTTCTGGCTATCGCTCTTTCTAGCCCAAGGGGCCAGGAGGCTAAGATCTGAAGTTCACAGTTCAAACCTAGCTCAGGCACAAAAGTCCAGGAGAGGGCTGGGAAGGTGACTCAGTGGTAGAGTGCTTGCCTTGCATGCATGAAGCCCGGCATTCAATTCCTCAGCACCACATAAGCAGAAAAAGCCAGAAGTGGTGCTGTTGCTCACGTGGTAGAGCGATGGCCTTGGGCTGAAGAGCTGAGGGGTGGCACCCAGGCCCAGAGTTCAAGCCCCATGACTGACAAAAAAAAAAAAAAAAGTCCAGAGACTCTTTAACTTCAAGGAACCACCAAAAAGCTAAAAGTCGAGCTTTGACTCAAGCGGTAGTGCGCTTGAGTGGAAAAGGCTAAGGGACAGTGCAAGAACAGTATGGGGGCAATTTCCGTCTTTGTCTAGATAAGCATGTGAACCTTTTGTGGGGCAGGGAGGATGCTAGCCATATACTAGGAACACAATAAATACCTCTAAAGCAAAGATGCTCTTTTGGGAGTGTTTATAGCAGCTTGCAGGAAAGGTAAGGCTTCGTGTTGTCGGCCCATTTAATAAGAGGGCAGGGCAGCTCCGTTCTCACATGATGGAAGAGCAGAGCAAGCTCCCCAGAGGGTCCTATGGTCTCAGCACCCCTGTACATTCTTAGGGTCCGGGGCTGGGTGGTGGCCGTGGGCACGCAGGAATGTGGGCGCTGACACCAGGGCTTTTCCGCTCGGGCAGCGCGGGCTAGCGACGCAGCAAATTCCACCACCACACCTGGCCTTGCAGCTGCTCTGGCAGGACCAGGGCCAGGAGGATTTCCTAGTCGACGGCCGCAGGCCCCCAGGGCATGGGCTTGACCTCGGGTGCAGGCCCAGGGTGTGGCAGGCGTGCTGGGCATCCCGGCATCCCTCAGGGTCCACAGCTGAGCCCCACTCTGCGCCTGGCCCTGGCTGCTACCCCAGCCCTCAGGCACCCTCTGCTGGTTCCCCTCTCCCTCCCATTCCTGATTGACACCAAGCAGGGTAAGAATGACCCCTCTGAGTTTGGGGGTCCTGGGGCCAGGGGAGAAATATGGTTCTGCATGCTGGGCTGGAGAACAATGCCCTTTCCTGGCAGGGCTAAGCCCAGATCGTCCCCCAGTCCTTCCTCCCACCCTCAGTAGGGTGCTGGGATCCCCACATACACACGCCTCCCGTATGCTCCTAGCCTGCCTTTCTCACTCATTTCTGCAGATGAGCCCTGCTCTCAGCTCAGTCTCTGCTACCCTGTTCTTTCTTTCTCTCTCTGCATCCTGGCACCCTGACGCTCTGTCCCCAGCTGACCTCTGCTGGTTTCCTGTTTTCTACTGTCCTCACCTATTACTAATGTCATGACTCCTGATGGGCAGGGAAATTCTCAGGCAGTAGCTCTTCCATTAAGAAGTTCACAGTCAGAGCAAGACATGGTGGCACATGCCTGCACTGTCGTCTTAACACTTGAGAGGTTGAGGCAGGAGGGTAGGGAGTTTGAGATCAGCTTGTGCTGTATGTCAAGACCTCCAAAGGAAAGAAAAGAAAGAAAAGAAGAATGGAGGGAGGGAAGGGGGAAAGAAGGAGACAGGGAAAGAAGGAGGGAGGGAGGGAAGGAAGAAGGAAGAAAGAAAGAGAGGAAGGGAGGGAGGGAGGAAAGAAGGAAGGAAGGAAGAAAGGAAAAAAAAGAAAGTCTTTGGAGCTGGCTACATTACAGCTGACTGCTATTAATCACTATTACACTGTCTTATTTATTGACTGTTCTGTGCCAGGCAAGTGTCAAGTCCCGACAGTGATGCCATGGTATAATTTCACTTTATAGTTGAGGACACTAGGGGCTGGGAAGGTGGCTCAGTGGTAGAGTGCTTGCCTTGCATGCATAAGGCCCTGGGTTCAATTCCTCAGCACCACATAAGCAGAAAAAGCCAGAAGTGGTGCTGTGGCTCAACAGATAAAGCATTAGCCTTGAGCTGAAGAGCTGAGGGATAGCGCCCAGGACCAGAGTTCAGTCCCCATGACCGACAGACAAAAAAAAAAAAAAAAGAAAAAGAAAAAAAGAAAAAAAAAGAAAGTTATAGATGAGGACACTGAAGCACAGAAAGGCTGAATAACTTGCCAATGGTCACACAGCCGGTAGACCCTGGGCTGGCCTGGGCTGGGCTGTCAGGATCAGGAACCCATGTGCTACTCTCCACTGAGCCATCTCAGATTCATCTCTGCAAGTATTTCTCCTTGGTTCTCTAGTCCTGAGCAATTTCTAGTTGGGGCAAAGATGGGGCAAGACCAGAACTCTGTGCTGTAGAATCCAGGGACCAGAAAGATGTGCTTCCTCTAGGGTGAGCGGAAAAACCCTTAATGTTGGTCACTTCTGATTATTTCCTGCCCCACCCCAGGGAGTTTTACCCGCTGCCAACTTACTATGGGCAAACTGGGACCAGCCTTTGTTCCTGGGGGAGCAGAAAGGAGGGGGTCCCAATACACGGTAGCAGCCAGGAGTGCTGGCTAGGTGTCCTGTCCACTCTTGGGGTGATTCCCTGGACTTCCCTTAGGACAGAGCTGGTGATTTTGTCTGTACGTCTGAGTTATGGGTGGCAACGTTTCTCCCTGTTGTGGAGAAAGTAATTTGCCCACCAATCTCTGCCACCACTGGAGTTATGACACGGGACAAATGACTCGCTGGTGGTGCCTCAGTTTCCTGGTGTGAACAGCACAGGGAAGGGGTTGGTGATGGGATTGTGCGGCAGGGAAAAGCGGACACATCATGCCATGTGCTGAGCATGATGAGAAAAGCTGGCACAAAGGCCCCGTGTGCCCGCTGGGATGGGATGTGGGGATGCAGCATTTACCATACAAGCACGGGATAGGCAGAAAGGGGCGTGAGGGTGGGGATTGTGGAGAGAGCAAACCCCAGGACAAGTCAGAGAGGTTTCTGTGTTCCTCGGTCCTGTGTGTGTGTGTGTGTGTGTGTGTGTGTGTGTGTACTAGGGCTTGAACTCAAGTCTTGAATGTTCTTCCTTAGCTAGTTTGCTCAAGGCTGGTACTCTACCATTAGAGCCATAGCTTCTCTTTCATCCTTTTGGTGGTTAATTGGAGATAAGAGTCTTCAGGGACTTTCTTGTCCAGGTTGGCTTCAAACCTTGATCCTCAGATCCCAGTCTCTGAGTAGCTAGGATTACAGGCATGAGCCCAGTGCCTGTCTCCTCAGGGTCTTCATCTCCACAGTGGGCCTTGAGGACAGGGCAAATGGATGGATGGTATCATGCACAGGAGATTCTGAATCCATTACCCGGAAGTGGCACTTGCCAGACACCCCTGCTATTCCTGAGCACCAAGGCTGTGTCTGCCTCTCCTGAACTGCAAAGCCCACTTGGCATGCAGGGTCCCAGCCTGCCATCTTCAGCAGAGCCCTCCTTCCGTCCCCACCCCTCAGCCCCATGGGCCACCCAAGGCCTGGAGACGGATGTGGAGTTGCTTCAGGACACCCAGCACACTGGGACAGACCTGAGGTTCTGTTGACTAGGGTCGTCCATCTATCATGGTGAGAAACCCCTGCAGAGCTCAGGAATGGTATCCCCCCCCAATGCCATCCTCCCTGCTCCCAGCACAGAGAAGTCAATGGCCCGCTGGGGACTCTGGCAGGGGAAGCTGTGTGTTTTGGCCTCTGCGGCTGTCTGGGTTGAAGAGGAGGAGTAGGAGCCTGGCGGCTGACTGAGGAGAGAAATTCATGTGTCTGGAGAGAATCTGGCTTGAGGGCCCCCATGGCAGCCAGAGCCTGGGCCGCCAGCCCCGCTGGGGGGCCCACTTGCCACCTCCAGACTGGGGCGGGCTTGTATATTCTCAGAGGTCATTAAAAGAAGAGGCTGAGGGGACTGGGAAGGTGGCTCAGTGATAGAGTGCTTGCCTTGCATGCATGAAGCCCTGGGTTCAGTTCCTCAGTACCACATAAACGGGAAAAGCCAGAAGTGGCGTTGTGGTTCAAGTGGTAGAGCTCTAGTCTTGAGCTGAAGAGCTTAGGGACAGCGCCCCACCATTCAAGCTCCAGGATTGACCAAAAACAAAAGAAGAAGAAGCTGAGGAAGGCTAATGCTTTCACCTTTGGTTTTTGGGGTTTTGGAGAGGGGGGAGGGAGGGAGAGAGTGTGTGTGTGTACTGGGGTTTGGCCTCAGAGCCTGGGTGGTGTACCTTAGATTTTTCACTCAAGGCTAGCATGTATTATCACTAGAGCCACAGCTCCACTTCTGGGTTTTTGGAGATAAAACTCACATAGACTTTCCTGCCCAGGCTGACTCTGACCCATGATCCTCAAATCTCAGCCTGCCATATAAGTAGGATTATAGGTATGAGCCAACAGCACTTGGCTCCCCTTGTTTTGTTTTTTAATTTTTTATTGTTTTTATAAAGGTGATGTACAGATCTATAGTTATATAAGTCAGGTAAAGAGTACATTTCTTTTTGGACCATATTGCCCCTTCCCTCACTCTCTCCCAGTTTTTCCCTCCTGTCCCCACACACAGTTGTGCAGTTCATTTTCAACATAGTATCTAGTGGGTACCATTGTTGCATTTGTTCACCCTTTGTCCCTCCATTTCTGTGCCCCCCTTACATGCTCAAAGACAGATAAATGGACAAACAAGACCAAAAGAAAAGAAAAGCAGCAATAGAGAAAAACCTGTTGCTTCCATTTCCTGGAGTTCATTTTGATAAATACCATTTTCTGTGACCAGATGCACATAGACATTGCACCTTTGTGTTCCTCTCCTAAGACTATCCTCCATTGGTCTCACTGTGTGTGAATGCCTAGAGTCCCCTTGGTTTTGGCCTTTTTGTTTTTTTTGTTTTTGTTTTTTGTTTTTGTCAGTCATGGGGCTTGAACTCTGGGCTTGGGTGCTGTCTTTGCGCTCTTCAGCTCAAGGCGAGTGCTCTGCGGCTTGAGCCACAGCATCACTTCCAGTTTTCTAGTGATTTATTGGAAATAAGATTTTCCTGCGCAGGCTGGTTTTGAACTGTGATCCTCAGATCTCAGCCTCCTGAGTAGTAGGATTATAGGCCTGAGCCACCGGCGCCTGGCTCTCCCCTTGGTTTTTGTACAACACCTTTCTTGTTGTAAGTGTGCCCTCTTATTATAAAAGCCATGCATAATACCAGAGAGCAAGAAAGCAAACCCTTTCTCAACCTAGAATTTCAGCAACACAAAACAAGGCTTTAAGCTCCCATATGTGTGCATGTTTACACGTGGATATATTCACACACACAGCTGCATACACATGTGTGTTAACACATGTAATACATAAGTGCAGCCCAGTCACACAAGTCCTTTCTCTCTCTCTTTTCTCTCTCTTTCTCTCTCTCTCTCTCTCCCCCACACACACACGCACACACACAACACACGCACACACACACACACATACACACAGAGCACTATCTGGGTGCCAACCTCTGTCCTAACCCCACATCTGGTCAATCTTTTCCTCTTACAACAATGCGAAGAAGTAGGCACCATGATTTCTCCCATTTTGGCAGATAATACACAAAATAGTTGAGATACCTTGTGGTTGTGTAGCGAGTGCAGTAAAGAGGATTTGAACCCAGAGCCATGGACCTAATGAACCATGCCACTTGAGGCTAAGCTTATGTGGCATCATAATGCCCCCTGTAGGTCCCCCTCCGCCTCATGCAGCCGTATTTGGTTCCAAAAGTGGCAACTTTTCCACATATCCACAAAGTCCTGGGATCAAACTTGGACTTGAATCCCAGCCCTGTTCACTCCAGGCTGAACTACTCTGGTTCTCCATTTCCTCATCTATGAAATGGAGAGGTGCAATGCCTGCCTCTTAGGATTGGCAGAGCCTCTGTGTGTGTGTGTGCGGGTGCATGTGCGCACACTTTGCACACACACACACACACACACCAAGCTCTCAGACCAGAGCCTGGCTCATGAGTCCAGGTAGCCTTACCTCTTACCTGCCCTACCACCCACTTCAACTTCGGGGCTGCCTAGGGACAACTTGAGAATACACTTCCAGGATGCCAGGCATCCTTAACATGTCAGGATCTGGAAGGCAGAGCTAGGCCTGTGGGGCTGGGGTCCCCCAGAGGTACAGGAGATTCCCACCCTTTTGTCATACTCCTGTCCTGCTCCTCAGCCCCAGCCCCTCATGGTCCAGGATGAAGCAGGAACATCAGAGAATCAGAGCCAGAGAGGGGGGGGGAGGAGGGAGAGAGAGGGGAGAGAGAGGTAGAGAGAGGGAGGGAAGGAAGAAGGGAGGGAAGGAGGGAGGGAGAGAGAGAGCCATAAATCCCTGGCAGCAGGCGGGATCTCCCTGTTCAAGCCAGCAGGGCTGGAAGGGGAGGGGGCTGTGGGGCCAGGACGTCAGATGCCATCCACTCCTCCAGGACTGTTAAAGTCGCTGAGCTGCCAGGAGAGCCAGGGAGATTGCAAAGGTCCCCAGCATCCTTGCTATCTTTTGCCACCTGCTGGGGCTGCCTGTGATTTGGTATGAGCCCCCACACCCAAAACCGGCTACTGCCTGCTCCCTGAGACATCCTTCTACCTCCTCTCCTCTCCTCTCCTTCTCTTTGCTCTCCTCTCCTCTTCACTCTTCTCTCCTCTTCTGTTTTCTTTTTCCTTTTGCCTTTCTTCCCCGTTTTCCTGTTTCTTTTTTTTTCTCCATCAGTCTTTTTTTCTCCATCAGTCTTTCTTTCGTCTCTCTTGTCTCCTCTCTCTTCTCTCTCTCCTCTCCCCCTCTCTTTTCTCTCTTCTCTTTCCCTCATCCCTATTCCTTTTCTCCATGTCTTCTTTCTCTCTGCTCTTCAATGTCCTTTTCTTTGCCCCTGCCATCCTCTCTTCCCTGAGTCCCTTGGCATCCTGTCATCATGATGTCCTGGAACCAGAGGGGGCTGCTCTGTGCCTTGTGAAAGTTGGTCCTTCCTCTGTGGGTAGTGCCTGAGCCCAGCCTTGAGGGGCTGGTGAATAGGGTGTCTGGCTGGCGAGGACGTTGTCTGTCTCCTGGGAGGGTGGGACAGGAGCCGCTTTGATGTGGTGGTGCCATCCCACCGCAGGGCCAGCCTGGCTTCACCGCTGTCTGGCATTTCTCTTCACACCCAAGCCACTGAAGTCCACCGAGGAAGGGAGGAGGGAGGCTGGGGATCGGGAGGGCTCTGCACAGTTCCCGGGGGTGGGGGGCATCCTCTGGGGCTGGTGCTCTTACTCCCGTCCCTTCCAGAGTCTAACTCTGACTGTACCGGACAGACGTGCCATCCAAGCCAGCTATGGTCCTGCTGCCCAGCACCGTGGTTCTGGCAGGCCTGCTCCTCGGGGTTGGCCAGACAGCGGGGGCATTGAGGATACCTAACTGCACTGTGGCCCTGGCCCAACCTCAGGGCACTGCTGTGGGGCCCCTGAGTGGCCTGGGGCCCCGCTATCGCCGGAAGCGCCACATCTCTGCCAGGGACATGAGCGCCTTACTGGATTACCACAACCACATCCGAGCCAGCGTGTACCCACCTGCCGCCAACATGGAGTACATGGTGAGTTCCCGTGCCGCCCCCAGCACCCTTCCAGCAAATGCCAGCTGTTCACATGGTCGGAGTCACTGGCCTGGAAGAGCTGTGCCATCCACCAGCCTCACCAGCCATGTTGGATGTCTGGGACCTGCAGGAAGGGTGGGGAACTAGTGCACCCATTTCAGAGATGAGGAAACTGAGGCCACCATACAGAGATCCTCAGTGAATCTAGGCACTGGGAGAACCCTTAGCCCCAGGCACTACATCTAGCCCTCTTCCTTCGTAAGAGTCTGTTTCCCAAATTGAGAAACAGATTTATGCTGGGCACTGGTGGCTCACTCTTGTAATCCTTGCTACTGAGGAGGATGAGATCTGAGGATCTGAAGACAGCCTGGGCAGGAAAGTTCCTGGGAATCTTATCTCCAATTAACCATCAAAAATTAGAAGTGGAGGTGTGCTTCAAGTGAGAGAGCACTAACTTTGAGCAAAAAAAAGCAAAGGGACAGCATCCGGTCCCTGAGTTCAAACCCCAGGACTGGCATAAAAGGAAAGGAAAGGAAGGAAGGAAGGAAGGAAGGAAGGAAGGAAGGAAGGAAGGAAGGAAGGAAGGAAGGAAAGAAGGAAGGGAGAAAGAGAGAGGGAGGGAGGGAGGGAGGGAGGGAGGAAGGAAGGAAGGAAGGAAGGAAGGAAGGAAGGAAAGGAGGGAAGGAAGGAGGGAGAGGAAGGGAGAAAGAAAAGAGGGAAGGAAGAAAGGAAGGAAAAAGGAAAGGAAGGATGGGAAGGAAGAAGGGAAGGAGGGAGAGATGGAGGGAGGGAGGAAGGGAAGCAGAAAAGAAAAGAAAAAACAGAAATTGAGATTGAGAGAATTATTTTCTTTCCCAAGGTCACCCAGCCAGGATTCCAAGTCAGATCTACCCAAAGCTAAAGTTGTCACCACCCAAAATCCGGCCTAGGAGTTGGCTTCCCACTGGGGACCCGCAGGGGGTGGGCAGGTATGGCTCCCTTTGCCATTGTCTCTTTGCTCAAGGATTTGCTTAGACACACCCAGATCCTTCATTCCCTGCAGCGGGTGGAGGCAGAGTTGGGGACAGACAGACAGACAGACAATCAACAGACAGACAGTCAGGCACCTGGGGATCTCAGGTGGAGCCCTGACTAGGAGCCCCGTAGTGAAGAAGGCTGGTGTCTCTCACCCCAGCCTCCAAAAAGCCAGACTGCAGGTAGGAGGAGGGGAGAGAGCATTGCTCTTTATCTCTACCCCCTAAGGCCATTGTCCCCAGCCAGCTTGAACCAATAGCCCGCTGGCGTATGGGGGGACTTCTGGAAAAGAAATTTCTTAGGAAAAGAAATAGCCAGTGCACGTTCTCCAAGGCAAATGCCACGTGATTCTGTGGCTCAGAACCTGACTGTGCTCACAGTTTTGTGCCAGTGTTCACTCCTGCTGTAGGTCCTCCGGGAGCCTTCAGAGGACAGAGGGGACTCGGCCTTCCTCTTATGGGGCTGAGGAGTTGCCTTTGAGGGGATTGGGGAAAAATAAATACCAACAAGATAGACTGAGAGTGTCTCATCAAGAGGTCTTTGTTGGGGACGGGTGGGGACCAGAACCCCAGGACAGGCGGCTCTCAAGGTGGGGGATGTTATTAATTTGTTGCTTGTCTGACTCATTCATCTGTGAACACCTAGACTGACACATTTTGCAAATACATGACGCTTTTATTGAGGACCTATGGTGAGTGTGGACAGTAAGTGTGTAGTTATTGCATTTAGATGGAATGGAGAGAGCAAGAAGTCTCCCCCAAAGACTCTGGGGATGACATCCAGGGAGGGTAGCAAGTGTTGCTTAGCATACTACTTCCTCAGTTTACCCCCTCTCCTCTCAGGCTACCCTAGCAGAGGCCTAGGCTCCTCCTGGCACCCCAATATCTTCTTCACTATTGACATCCACCTACAAAAGTAGACAGGTGCCTGATTAAGTGTATCTCAGTCCTAAAGTCCCAAGAAAGGTGGGGTCTCTGAATTCTCATACCCCAGGACTGCAGTCATTCAGGATTGTTTGATTTTTCATTTCCTGGCGAGACAGTGAGTCCCCCTGTACCAAGAAATGCTGGTCAGTGTTTACTAAGTGAGCAAATAATGCCTCAGAAAAAATCCCAGGGCCTCAGAGCTAAAGAGAACTCGTTTTAGACTGGTGCTGGTGGCTCATGCCTGTAATCCTAGCTGTTTAGGAGGCTGAGATCTGAGGGACACAGTTTGAAGATAGCTGGGGCAAGGTTCATGAGACTCTTATTTCCAATAAACCACCAAAAAACTTGGAATGGAGCTGTGGCTCAAGTGGTAAAACATTAGGCTTGTGTGAAAAAGCTGAGACAGTACCCAGTCCCAGAGTTCAAACCGCAAGACTGGCATTAAAAACAAAAAAAACAGCCAGGTACTGGTGGCTCATGTCTGTAATCCTAGCAGCTCAGGAGACTGAGATCTGAGGATCCTGGTTCAAAGCCAGCCTAGGGCAGGAATGTCCATGAGACGCTTATCTCTAGTTAACCACCAGAAAACTGGAAGTGGTGTGTGGCTCAAGTGGTAGAACACTTGCCTTTAGCTGAAGAGCTCAAGGATAATGCCCAGGCCTAGAGGTTAAGCCCCCCTACTAACAAAAAGAAGCAAGCAAGCTAGTTTTTGCTTGTTTTACTTTGTTTTGCTTGAGATGGTATCTCCCTATGTTGTTCAGGCTGCCTCTAACTTGGGATCCTCCCACTTCAGCTTCTCAAGCATTGGGATTATAGGTGAGCATCACCATACTTCAGCTGGGAATAAGTCTTTTTTTGTTTTGTTTTGTAATGTTTTCTCTCCATAGGCACTGAGGTGAAAGAATCATTAGGATGGAAGACTTGTCAAGGGAAAGTACATAACAAGATGCACGCTGTCTTTGTCAATAGCACATATCTGTCTCTGTATATCTGTTGGCACAAGTCTGAGTATTTCTGAAGACACCCAATGCTGCTGATTGCCCAGGGTGGGGGTGGGGAGAAGCATGGGTGAGAACGTACCTCTCCAGTTGGCCTCCCTTGGATAGCTGATAGATTGAATGTTTTTCATATGTTCATATTTTAAAAACAAAAAGCTTTTTTAAAAATTTATTTTTATTGTGATTAAGTGATTACATAAATTTCACAAATTTCAGTCTTTTTTTTTTTTTTGTCGGTCATGGGGCTTGAACTCTGGGCTTGGGCACTGTCCCTGCGCTCTTCAGCTCAAGGTGAGCGCTCTACCACTTGAGCCACACCTCCACTTCTGGTTTTCTAGTGGTTTATTGGAGATAAGAGTCTCACGGACTTTCCTGCCTGGACTGGCTTTGAACTGCGACCCTCAGATCTCAACCCCCTGAGTAGCTAGGATTACAGGCGTGAGCCACCAATGCCCGGCAAATTTTTTTTTTTTTATCAAGTTGTACAGAAGGGTTCAATTCCAGAAGTCAGGTTATGAGTACAAGGCATTTTGATGAATGTCACTCCTTCTGTCATTCTCTTCCTATTGTTTTCCATCCCAGCTCTACCCTTAAGTTGGTAACTCAGTGTCTACATAGTATACATTGAATACAATGTATTTGCTTTGAATTATTATTATTTTTATTATTTTTGCATATTTGTGCTAGCTTGAACTCAGTGTCTACGCACTGACCCTTAGCTTTTCTGCTCAAGGCTGGTGCTCTACTGTTTGAGCCAAAGCTCCACAAAAGTTTTTAATGCTGACATAAATCTGCAGTGAAAATACAATAAATAAAATCTTATAGTCAGTAATCTCCCTCCTCCTGGGACTGCTGAGAACTTTTGTTTGTTTGTCTGTCGGTTGTGGGGCTTGAACTCTAGGCCTGGGTGCTGTCTCTGGGCTCCTCAGCTCAAGGCAAGCACTCTACCACTTCTTGAGCCACAGTGCCACTTCCGGTTTTCTGGTGGTTCATTGAAGGTAAGGGTCTCACGGACTTTCCTGCCCCAGCTGGCTTTGAATCTGGATCCTTGGAGCTCAGCCTCCTGAGTAGCTAGGATTACAGGTGTGAGCCATCGGCGCCCGGCTCTGTTGAGAACTCTTGAATAAACACCTGGGACCCCACGTCAGCGCTGAGGGCCCCCAGCATGAATGAGATCCAGCAAATACAACAGGGCCTCAAACTTGGAATCAGGAGGACCTTAGCTCTGGGATAAACTTGCAATTGACCTTAAAATCATCATAGGCCTCAGTTTCACAATCTGTCCAGTGGGCTCGTTGTCCAGTTCAAGAAGATATGGGAGAGGCCCAGCCCCAGATCCCTGGGCTTCATTGCACCCTGTCCTGTTTTTTTGCCTCCAAGAACTCCACAGCCTTCCTTTCCCCAGGTCTGGGACGAGCAGTTGGCCAGGTCTGCTGAGGCCTGGGCCACGCAATGCATCTGGGGCCACGGGCCCTCCCCGCTGATGAGATACGTGGGCCAGAACCTCTCCATCCATTCTGGCCGGTGAGTAACACTTGATCCTTCCTTCCTTTAGTCATTCAACAAACATACACTAAGTATTTACTCTGTGCGTGAGGCTTGGCTGTGTATAATAAGTGGTAGACGGGTAGACAAATTCCCTATGCAAGGGAGAGATGGCAAACAAGGGGTGGGGGAGAAATAACTGCCCCCTTTTTGTTTTGGAGAGTGACCTGAAGAAGCCAAGGCAGGATAAAGGATGAGATGAGCCAGGAGCCCGTGGCTCCTGACTGTCTGTAATACTACCTACTATTCTTGGTCTTGAACTCTGTGCCTGGGCGCTGTCCCTGAGCCCTTCAGCTCAAGGCGACTGCTTTACCACTTGAGCCACAGCACCATTTCCAGTTTTCTGGTGGTTAATTGGAAATAAGAGTCCTATGGACTTTCCTGCCAGGGCTGGCTTTGAACCGTGATCCTCAGATCTCAGCCTCCTGAATAGCTAGAATTACAAGCATGAGCCACGGGCACCTGGCTCCGTGAGGCCCTTATCTCCAATAAACAACCAGAAAACCGGAAGTGATGCTGTGGCTCAAGTGGTAGAGCACTTACCTTGAGTTGAAGAGCTCAGAGACAGCGTCCAGGCCCAGAGTTCAAGCCCCACAACCAACAACAACAACAAAAGACATTAGAAAACATCCATCTTCTCCTTTCTGCCAGTCTGCCCTGGCCCCCAGCAGAGTGGGGGCCACTTTCCTCAGTGGAAACTCAGCTTCCCTCCAGCTTCCGGTCCTCCTCCTCCCCAGGTACCGCTCCGTGGTGGATCTCGCCAAGTCTTGGTCGGAGGAGAGGCGGCATTACTCATTCCCAGCCCCGAAGGACTGTACCCCACACTGCCCCTGGCGCTGCAGCGGCCCTGTGTGTGCCCACTACACCCAGGTACCCTCTGCCAGGACCCAGGGTGATGCAGAACAAACTCCAGCTGGCCTGGGACTCATGACCCTCCTACCTAAAAAACAAAACAAAACAAACAAGGAGGCTGGGTGCTGCTGGCTCATGCCTATAATCCTAGCTACTCAGGAGGCTGAGATCTGAGGATTGTGGTTCAAAGCCAGCCAAGCCAGGAAAGCCCTTGAGACTCTTATCTCCAATAAACCACCAGAAAGGCTATAGAGTTCTAGCCTTGAGCTGAAGAGTTGAGGGACAGAGCCCAGGCCCAGAGTTCAAGCCCCACGACCAACAACAACAACAAGAGGAGAGGAAGAGAGAGCAGGAGGAAAAAGAAAAGGGAGGGAGGGAGGGAAGGAAGACTAGAGAAACACCCTATTATGGTATAAGTGCCTCTAGCCCTTGGGACAGGAAGACAGCCTCCTCCAGGAAGACCTCCCGGTAGCCCCAACTGGGGACTGAGTCCCGCAGCCATGCCACCCTGAGGACCCTGGCCCCTTCAAGTCCTTCTCAGCCTGCCCCTCTCTCTGCCTCGTCAGATGGTGTGGGCGTCTTCCAGTCGGCTGGGCTGCGCTGTCCACACCTGCAGCAGCATTGATGTGTGGGGCAGCACGTGGCGCCAGGCGGTGTACTTGGTGTGCCACTATGCCATCCGGTAAGTGCAGTACCGAAGGGCCCTGGGGTGGGAGGCAGGCCCTGAGAACTATCTGTTCATTTATTCAAGTGCCCCCAATATCACACCATCAGGGCGATTTGAGGGTCAGTTGGTAACCCTTTTTCTGAGTTTCAGGGTTACTTAGGAGAAGTGGAGAAGCCACGTGGGCAGATCCCTAAGAAAAGTCAGTGGGGACACACTGAACACGTCCAGCCCCCTCACCCAAACTTGCCAGTCAGGTCTGAGGCAACACACAACTTAAAACGTCACTTATACAACAATCGTGTTGTACTCACACTCGGCTCTTGATGACTTGCAAAATGCTGCCACTTATTATCTTATTTAAAGAGAAGAAAGGAAAAGCTGCATGCAAGTGGCTCTTGCCTGTAATCCTAGCTATTCAGGAGGCTGGGAGGAGGAGGAGCAGGGTTTAAAGCCAGTCTGAGACCCTGTCTCAAAAATAATCAGCAAGAATGGGACTGGAGGTGTGGTTCAAGTGGTAGAGAGCCAGTCTACTAGCAAGCGTGAGACCCTGAGTTCAAACCCCAGCACTGACAGAGACAGGCAGGCACTGGCCCGGAATACATGTAGCTTTGGGTTTGATCTCCAGCACTGGAAAATAGATAAAGGAAAGAAAAATTAAGGAACCTTCCGAAAAATATTGTCCCTATTTACAGTTAAGCGATTGAGAAGCCAGGTATGGTGTACATGCCTGCAATCTCAGCATGCAGGACTCTTAGTTCTTCCTTAGTCTAAGACAGGTAATAGTGCCTATCTCCTGGGAAGGTAGAAAGGATATTTGGCATAGGCATTCCATGTAGGTGAGGATATCAGATTCTTTTCCCCATCATCTCCAATTGAATCACGGAGAGACAGAGCCAAAAGAAATTTGTCAGGCAATTGGAAATTTCTGTCTTATTATTTATAACAGTACACTGATGTGTGTTATATGTGTATTATTATTATTTTGTCAGTCTTGGGGCTTGAACTCAGGGCCTGGGCACTGTCCTTGAGCTGCTTTTGCTCAAGGCTTCCACTCTACCACTTGAACCACAGCACCACTTCCAGCCTTTTCTGTTTATGTGGTACTGTGGACTTGAATCATGCACTCTACCACGAAGCCATATTCCCAGCCCCTACTTTAGTTTTTAGAATCTTACTTTGACATTTCTTTTATGATAGTGGTAAGGGGCTGGGGTGTGACTCAGTGGGCAAGCACTTTCCTACCATGCAGCAGACCCTCCTTCCCCAGAAAGGTGCAAAGGAAAAGGAAAAGACAATAATATGAGCCAAGACACTCAAAACAAAGCAATTCATCAGTGTATATGAAGTACTTCATACACTTCTATGAAACTAGAATGATAAAACCCATCAAACTTTTAAAAGAAAAGAGGAATAAGAAGGCATAATAAAGGGCGTAAATTTGCTCAAAATCTATTATATGCATGTACGAAAAATATCACAACAGAGCCGGGCAGGCGCTGGTGGCTCACACCTATAATCCTAGCTACTCAGGAGGCTGAGATCTGAGGACCGCAGTTCAAAGCCAGTCTGGGGGCTGGGAAGGTGGCTCAGTGGTAGAGTGCTTGCCTTGCATGCCTGAGGCCCTGGGTTTGATTCCTCAGCACCACATAAGCAAAAAGAAAAAAGCC